ACACTCTGAACTTGATAGAAAAATAAAATTTTGTGAAATTATCGAAAATGTCATATGAAAAATGATTGTTATGTGAGAAAAAACATGAGAAGAGGCATGAAATGCATGTGGATATTTAGACATGATGCTAACTCTAACAAGTAGGAGATATTGGTAAGATTGGTGAGATTCTTGTTCACAATGCTTTTTTGTAATTCTTTTTTGAATGTTTTGAATTGAGTTTTCCTTGATATTTTTGAATATTACTGAATTTATGTGATGTCAAAAAGGGAGAGAAAATAACAATTCTGATCTAATAATGATTTTCTTTGTGATATGTTGGTACTTCTTTTGGTATCAAGTCTCTGTGATATGTTGGTATGTTGGTAATTGCTGAATTTTGGTATCATTTCTCTGTTTTTGTTTGAAATATTGAATTCTCTGTTATTATTGCTAGATTACGGTATGAGATTTTTACTCTTTTCTTATGATGACAAAAAGGGGGAGAAAAATGGATACTATGTGTTAGGGGGAGTTATTCTGATTTCTGAGATTATAAGTTTGGTACTTAAATATTTTTGGATGCAATGAGTAAGGGGGAGCTTATGCTCAATCTTTTTTCTTTCTTTCATCCATTGTTTTGTCATCATAAAAACGGGGGAGAATGTTGATCTTGGTCCCTAACTTTTGATATTTACAAAACAATTGGATGATGCTAATATCTCTTCAAGAAACACTTTCAGTTATGTAGCAAATCAGATTCAAAGATTAAGCACACTTGAAAGGGACAAAGTATGATGAACCTGTCGGACGCTCAAAAAAACAGAATCGGACGTCCGATAGAATCCTTTAAAGTCGACGAAACCGTCGGACGCTAAATATGTCTCTACCGGACGTCCGATAGAAACAAGATGATTTCTCAAATCTCTTTGTTTGCTGTCGGATGCACAAAAACCTTGCACTGGACGTCCGATAGAAATAAGATGATTCCTCCAACTCTCTGTCTGCTGTCGAACGCAAGCATCGGACGTCCGATAGTATCGGACGCCCGATATTTCAACGGCTAGTTGACTCTTCAGTTACTTTCTATCCATTGGAAGCATTAATGAGGCACTTTTTTATCCTATATAAATAGTGGTTGGTCAAATATTTCAAATAACTTTTACACATAGAGCATACAAAAGATCTAGAGTAGTTTTAGTGAGAAAACACTCTCCAAAGAAGATTTGTAGTCTTAGTGGTGTGAGATTCATTGTAAACTTTTCATTTGTGAGTGAATACTTCATGAGTGTAGTTCTGTGAGGGTTGTCCTAAGGGATAGTAAAACTTCCTAACTTGACCGAGTGGAGATCGGAGCAAGGAGGAAGTGAACCTTCCTTTGTACACAAAAGTGATTGTAATTCATCAATTTGAAGAAGTTTGTTCTATAAATTGATCTACAAGCTCAAGAGCAATTGGGTAATCAATTGGTTTGCTATTCTTTCCTTCTTATTTACTTATTGTTACGTTTGTGATCTTTGAATTGCTTATCTCTTCTACTTCTCTCAAGTGATTTTGTTCATTCATTGATTGACTCAATGTGTGATCACTTAGAAAAGAGGGTAAATTTTATATTGAGCAAAAAGGTGTCTCATCACTTGATTAGGTTTTTAATCAACCTAATTCACCCCCTCTTAGGTTGTCTTCGGGCCTTTCATATCGATTTGGCTCCCAAGTGACGTTATATCATTTCATATTGAATAAGTTATTATATTGTAAATTATACAATGATTTGTCCTGATTTTAATTGTTTGTTAATATGTTATTATGTTGAAACTATGGATTTATGTCGTTTATTGATTGTTTCTTTTCTGAGAACCTCACTGGGCGTAATGTCAACCTTTAGTTTGTTTTCCTTACGGGATATGAGAGCGAAAGAAGTTGAGATTAATGATAGATCGAATCCAAAGTCTCTATTTGGTATTTATTGTAGACAAACTTGTACTATGAGAATTAGTGGATAAATTCTTACTTTAATCCTATTGGTTTGTATATAAGTGTGAATGTGAGAACCCGTAAATTTCTTGATTTCTAGGCCTTATTTTAATTATTTGCACGCCTTTTATGCATTTTCTTTATTAGGAAAAATTTTCTAAATAATTTTTATGAGTAAATATAGTTTTTAGATGATTTTTCTAATACCGGTTAGTTTTTGAGAAATTAAGAGCATATACCGGACGTGGGACCCGCTAGTGCGGAAAGTTCGATAAAATTCGGCCAATTAGATTAAGTTTGGGATACTGGGATTAATTTACTAGGTACTAAGAGATAATTAGAGATTGTTATATGGATGAGAGTGGAGAGACAAAAGGATAACCATGTATTAATTATAGTGACAACTGTCACTTGGAGAACTAGTCTTACTTTTGACCACTATTCATTACTTTACCAAATAAATCAAAAATTGACCCAAAAATCACTCAAAATTTCAAGCTCATGGCCGGCCCTCTCTAAGGGAAAAAGAAAAGAAAACTCTCCACTTTCTTAGCCCCAATCTTGTTCAATCTTCAATTCCAACCGTTTAATCTTGAATTTACTCCATAAAACCTCTTAGTTTAGTGGTATTAAGGTTGGTTGTGAAGTGGTTTGGAGGAGCAAGGTGCTAAATTGGGTCTTTTTTTGGGTTTGCAAGGTATGTGACCAAGGAACCTTCCCTTTGATCCTATTAATGCTCAATTGGTACCTTTTGTGAGTTAAAGAGATAATTTTAGGTGTTATTTTGTGACTTTTGGTTGAAATTGGTGAAGTTTTATATTTATTTGGGATTTTTCTATTTTCATATGATTAATATTGTGTGGCCATGGATGATGGTTGGGAATGGTTTAGAATGAAGCCTTGGTGTGTAAATTGTAGCTATTTGCGGAAAATTTCCGCTTTGAACCGAAATTTCCAGGTTAGGGTTCCAATTTTTCACTATTCTGCCCGGCACTGTTGGATCTAGTTATAGGTCGAATTAGCCTTAGGTTAAAACATGAAAGTTGTAGGGAATGATGTTTTATAGTTGAATGCAAAATTTCAGCCCAATCGGAGCAATGTAACCTGTGAAAAGACCGAAATACCCCTGTTGCCCTGTTTCTACCCAAACATGCTAATCAGCTTCTGTAATTGGTTGTTTTGACCAGGAATACTACTGATTTGGTTGTCGATATCTTCTTAAGACTTATAGCCTTGTGGCTTAGCTTTAAAATGGCTTTGAAATCACTTGAATTGGAGTTGTATATGCTGAGATATGACTGAATGAATCAGGACTGCCACAGTAAACTTCGAATTGGAAAATCTGGGATTGTTTTGGTAAATTTGACCTAGAAACATTGTAAACTGGACTGAGTGGCCTTCTTCAACATTGTAGGCCTTCCTATTAGCTTCGAAACGGTGTATCTTGTACATCCATCCGATAATCGTAGTGCCGGTTGTGTCCAATACGCTTAATGACGTTAAAACTGTTTTTAGGTCTTAGAGCTTAACTCTCATTTCCGGACTTTCCCTAGCTTACTTTAATACTTATACGTTCTAATGGAGCCTTATTTTTGGTAGTATATGGAATTGGTTTATGACTTGTAATCGAGTCTTATTGTGCTTGTTTGAATATTTTAGGGCGTGACGGTGATTAAAGACGCTCTTTGGGCGGAAGTTTATGAAATTTCACTTGCTTGCTTGGTGAGTGTACTACTCACTTGCTTGTTACTGTGTGGCTTTGTTATATTTGAACTTGGAATTTCACTGACCTCTCTTACTCTATTGCGTTTTTGGTAACAACGCAGTCCAAATCTGATTACAATATTATTTTCATGTGTGAGAAGGTATTTTTATTCCATGGATGCCCCTTTGGTCCTTGTATTGGTAGAAGATTGAAAGAAGAATAAATTATTAGAATGATTACTAAAGTTGAGGGGTTATAAGTACAAAAAAAAACGGTTGTAAGCACCAGATGTGTCAGGAAAAATGCCGAGTTTCACAAATTTTAAGTCAACTAGTAGGTTATCTATTTAACATAAAATAAGTAAGTAATTAAACTAATTAAATAGAAGAGAGAGAGAACCAATTAAATGCAAGAAAGTCGTAATAGAGGAAACGTATACAAAACGAATATTAGTATATCACCTTTTAAATTTTACTCACATAAACTAATAGACAATTCCATAAGCTGGTTGGTGAATAACAGAAATTTAATATCTAATGAAGGTGATTAAAAAATTATTACTGCTAGGCGCCAATTTTTGAAAGTTAAATTTATGTATTTAACATAAATTTAATATGTGAAAGTTAAAAAAAAAGAAAACGAAATAGCGCGTAACATACCAGCTCTATATGGGAAACATTGTATCAACATTTTATGGGAAACATAAGAGCTCTTTATGCCATTTACCCCACTTGGCGAATAAACACCAGCTCTTTACGCCTCTTCTCAATTAATGGGTTCCAGTTAGGACGGTCGTGGCAGCATACGAGGAGTCAGTCTGGCTTCGGTATATGTATCGGGCGCGACCTTTTGGTTGCCATTTACCCCGCCCGACCTGTCTGTCAAATCTGTGCTACCGACTTCTAGAAGCTGGTTGACGACCACAGGTACGAACTAACCCTCCTTGTTTATCACTGTGGAACCTCCTCTGCTCTGCGATGAACGTCCGTAAATTGACGATGTACGTGTAGTTCAGGACTGTTCATGTTTCCTTGCTATCGGTGTATTGTTACGGTTCGGATGAATTAAACGTATTGACACATACGTTGGTCGGTTTGTAAAAATGTTTCGGATGACAGTTTTTTGACGATAGAATGTTGCGTCGTTTGCAGGAGAAGTCGCCACTTTCCCATTTGTGTTCGTTTATCGCTACGGTTAGTCGGATGTCCAGAAATTCGGGATATTACACCTGATCAATCATTATTGGATTTTATGAGGAAGTTGTTGTTGTTTGAAGTTTACTCCATTCTTGGGGCTTTCAGGGATTCACTCAACTGTGCCCAGTAAAAGGAGTTAACCGGTCATGGCCAACGAACAAAAAGGGCTTTCAGGAACCTCCATCCTCTCCCTTCCGACCGAGGTGCTTGCACGTGTCGCATCTTCTTCATCAACTGATCTTTTCCGGGCAAAACTGTGGTTCGTTCTGCTATTGATGATACAAACAGGAAGAGGCGAATTCTGTTCCATTCTGTGATTTTCGTTTAGGTTAATGGATCATTTCTCTTATTGTGCAGCTGTAAGTTGCTTAACGAAGTTTCGGACGCAGACATCGTTTACCAGCGGGTGTCACTCGCCAAGTTCGAACTCGTTCCGTGGCACAAAACCACAAAGTGTCGAGCTTCTTGAAGAAGTGTAGACAATGCAAAAATCCAGATGCACTGTATCGAAAAGGAGTGATAAGCATCGGGCCGATAAAACTCATTCCCTTGAATATTCTACCTTTTCAATTGAAGTTGGTAATGAACAACCCCCAGTCCTGTACAGTATAAGTCCTGGTCAATGTCTTTGGCAAGTTGGGTTTTGATTAGGAACGTAAGACTCAATAGTTATGGGAAAATTCGGTAATGTTTTAAATGGAATAGTTGTCAACTAACATTCCATAAGCATACTTGAGTTACAAAATTTCTAGACTAAGCTCACATCATGTCTTTCATTTGAACTTCATTGTGATTCTGGTCAGCATACTTCACCCCCAAAAGATTGGCTTACAACACGTTACTGCAGCTTTGGGCCCAGTAAATAACTGTTGTCCCGTCGCCACTGTTCCACCTGCACTTTTTAACTTTTTCGTTACTAAGTTTGTAAGCAAGACTGTAATATCAACCTTGGCACTGCTTAGGTTGATTTCTTTACGGACAAGCATGGGGACTCAGCATCGGAATGCTTGGAAGAAGCTGCTAATTCAGGCCATGCCGATGCTGCATATGCGTTGGGAATAATTTACATCTTTGTTGGTGGGGACGAGTTAAAGCGCAAAGGTATGAGCCTGCTGAGCGGGATGAAGAAATCCGGAATTCTGAAAGGCAGAGTGAAACTTTGCCGTGACAATTTGCGAGCGCTACTGAGGATGATATGGGTCAAGAATCCTGTGTTTGCAAACCCAACGCCCATTTGTTGTGCCATGACACATGAGAGGAAAACATCTTCATGGCCTATGGATGCGGATGACGTGGAGGAGAGTACATGTGAAGGCTGCGCTTGCGATGAAGAAATTGGAGCAATTTGTGCTGCCCTACCTTATCGTTAGTGTGTAAGATTGAATGTTGAGAACTCCTTTGACTGCACAAATTTTTCACCATCGTGTACAAATTAATTTTCACCAGCTAAATAGCTTATCTTGGCCCTTTTATGTTCTGTATTTGATCGAATCATTAATGAAGTTAGTATACGATTTTCTAAAAATCCAGTGCGTTAACAAAACATTAGCACACTGAAATACGATTCGATAATGTTTTTCAGGGTCGTCGGAGGAGATTGGGCGGTGGTCTGCAGGGCTCGTTACCCTCTATATTTAGCAATGTACATATACACGCTCGAAGTTCCTTCAGTACAAAACCACATACATATGCAAACTCAACAAAACGCCGTTGTAGACAAACGTGTATGAAATGTAAGAATAAAGGATGATAGTTAGAAGGTAAAGAGGGAACTCCTCAGCAGTGATCTACGTGATGGATACTGTACTGAAGTGAGAAGTTTACTAACTACATACGAAATGGTGCTAGATTAGATATTGCAAAAAAAATTACTTATGGAGGAAAGCCATAGAGAGCTTGTCTTTTAAGAGAATGAGATACTAATTAGAAATGCGACCATGATTTGATTTATGAAATTATCAAAAAAAATTTAGAATGATTTTGTCAATATAATTAATTAATTATTATATATATTCATATAATGCATTATATAATTATGCAAATATATTATATGGTACGAAGTATAGTATATATTTATTATGATGTTTAGTTTAGTATTAGTATACGTATAAGTATTAGGAATCATTATAATTATATAATATTTTATTACTATATGCACATATATATTATAATTATATGCACATATAAAATACATTTATAAATATATATAAATAGTAATATGTAAATATATATTATAAAAATATTTATAATATACATTTATAAAAATATTAATTAATTTATAATATACTTTATAGTCATATAATATATTAGTATAATTATACAATGCAACACATAAATATATATAATAAAGGCTTAATTAAAAAAAATGCATTCTAAATTTTCTTTGGATAATTTGATAATCCAAATCGTGGTCCCAGTCTGTAAAGTAGCACTTTCTCGTAAAAGACCAGCTCTATATGGCCTTCCTCCATTATAATAACAGAGTACCCTTTTTTCCATAAATAATTATAATTATCCAGTAAAATAAGAAAAAAATTGATTTACTTTAATTGACCAACTCTTTATGGCTTGTCTCCATTATAAGAACAGAGTACCCTTTTTTCCATAACTAAATTTATTTATCGGATAAAGAGGAAAAATGAACTCGCTTTTCAATAAAAGACCAGCTCTTTATGGCTCTCCTTTATTATAAGAAAAGAGTACCCATTTTTTCGTAAACAAATGCCCTAATCGGATTGAAATGAAAATAAACAAGTTTTTCAATAAAACGCTAGCTTTTTGGCTATCGTCCATAAATTATCCAATGTCTGATTTTTCCATAATGTAATTCAGGGGAGGTTTCTGAAAGTATCCCAAAAAACATGTTGTGTATATAATATTAATAAATTATATAAATAGAAAATTACATTTGTTATTATGAATAGATTGTAATCTGCTGCCTGTAAATTGTCAATTGCGCATAAACCGCTTCGGAATAATCTATCCAATACCGAATCGGGTTGATTTTCGTTTGACTAAATCGGGTTTGCCTCCCTCCACGCCCGTCCCTGCCTGATCAATTATCCCACAAAAAGTTTGTCTTTCTTGAACTTCTCATCGTTTCTCCTGTTAAGCCCATCAAACGCCGCGGGTGTTGTGTGAACACACTGAACAGCTTCGGTTTAAACTTTCCCCCCTTCTGAAATTTGGAACATTTCGAACAGTTTTAGGCGGCAAGGTCCAAATAAATCGGATTTATCGCGTTCGCTTCCTCTGTTGCTCAAAGTACTCAACACTTGAATCGCATCCCGAAGCAAGCATAGCCAGTAACATGGAGGCCTGTATGAGTCTTCCAGTGTATGCAGGCATGTGGGTCGACGTAGAAGCTCTCGCTGGTGAGTGTATCGATATCACGGAATATCTTAATGCCCAAAATTTGTTAAATTTGCTGGCACATAATGACAAGTGCTATGCTGCGATGGTTAGGGAATTCTATGCTAACTGTAGGGCAAATAAGCAGAAGTCTGTTCTGCGTTCAATGCTTAGGAATGTACACATGGAATTGTCTACTGAGGTTTTGTGTTCAGAGTTTGGATTGGTTGACAGTGGATACACTGTTGACTATAAACGGATTAACGCAAAGAATGTAGATAAGGTTGTGTGTGAAGGGGTACAATGACCTAGAATTTCTTGGAGAGATTAGGCAAAATGGTGACAGAGTTATGAACATGGGGAAGAAAACTAAGTTTTATGGGCCGTATATGAAAGTGTTGCCACGACTGTTACATCTGATAATAACTCATAACATTTTACCCAAAGCCGGAAGTATCACTTCCGTTAGTGCATTAGAAAGAGTTATATTGTGACATATGTTACACAAACAACCCGTCAACATAGGCAATTTGATCATTGCAACGATGCTCAACAGGATTAGGAAGATTAAGAGCAGGGAGAATAAGAGAACACATCTCCCTTTTGGTATGTTGCTGACCAGGCTCTTTAGGCGCTTTAATGTGCCATTCTTGGCTGACCACGTTGACAAAGGATTTTATGCCCAAAAAATAGAAGTATCGTACTTCAAAAAACTGGCATTCAAAGCTGAAGATGGTGGTGGATGTGGAAGAAATCCTATACCTCTTATGCTGTCATTGGTCAGACTGGGGACGCGAATAGAAAAGTTGAAGAAATAAAAGAGATGGATAAGGGGGGAAGTGTGCTGGGGTAGAGGTGAGGCCGGTTGTGGGAGAAAAGGCACACCTTGTAGATGTTGTCTTACTATCTGAACAAACCAGAAAAGGGGCAAGTGTATGTGACAATGTTATTTTACTCCTTTTTGTTTCTTCTTCTCGATGGCAACACAGGAGCATAACCCAATATTTGTATGACTAGGTTGTGGATAAAGTGACACAAATTTTACAACGGGTTGGTGCCAGCGAAGTGAAGGACTGCAGATTTGAGGAATTGCCATTTCTACGAGATGTAAGACATGCTCTTGCGCTCTCCTGTAATCCCCTTTATATATGCTAATACCTTTATTGTCCAGTGTCTACCACAAGCGTCCGGCGTAGCACCTGATGAATTGAAAGAAGCCGTATGCTTTCATGTCAGACAACTCGTCCGCAGATGTATGTTAAAATATCGGTACTGTCAATGGCTAACACTGATCTCGCTTTCATCTGTTTATTGTACTCATGTCAATCATTGTTCACAGCTGTGTCAATACACTAGATAGGCAGCATCTCTTTGATATTACAAGAGAAGAACTGAGCAAGTGATGCTTCTGGAGACATGTCTCAGTGACAGAGTAAGTTTTTTATGCGATTGCACAGGCCTACCTTGTTCACTAATCTCGCTAAAAATAATAACTCAATGTTGAATGTTTGAATTTGTTCCATTCTGTGAAGGTTGTGACCCAGTACCTTCACTTACTCCAGAAAGAATATAAGCAATTTGTTTTCTTCAATCCTATGTTTTGGGTACGTAACGAAAATTATTGTATGTGCTGTTGTGTCTTGCAAATGTGGACCTAATACTTGCTTCTCAATCACTTCGTTGTAGCTGAAATGCGTGTTAGACTATCCATGCATATCTCCCGCAACCAAAAAATTCGTTGATCAGAGCAATGACGACTCCATGACAAATCCTGAAAAGGTAAACATTAGCTATCATTCTCGCCTTTACATTCTTATACAATATGAGTAGCAGCTGCATGTTAGTGGAATTGGATTCAGCCTAACATGGCCTTAGCTTTTAACACATTCAACATTGCTTGTTGTATGCGATTGCAGATTTTTTTCCCAATCGTTTATTCAAATCATTGGTTGCTCATGATTGCACATGTCAAGGACAAACAAGTGTACATTGTTGATTCTATAGACAATTACAAAACCTTCTACCAAGGTTTGATGCAATCTATGGTGAGTAAACTTCAAAAGCGTACCTTAGCTTCATTTCCGAAGAAGGTAACATATTTCTAACATTCGATACTTGCTATATTTATTTCCTTTTTTAGGAATGGATTTTGATGAAAATTTTCCACGAAAATCAACCCTGGACATTTAATCTTGTAAAACACAAACTAAAACAGAGACAGGCGAGTTGCGGGGTTTTCACTTTGAAGTTTGCGCAATGTTGGGCAAAGGGTGTCGGCCACAATTTGTAAGTGCACAAATGGACAACCCCTTGTGGCAAGCTCACTCTATTGCGTCTGACATTGTTTCTGAATGTATGTACAGCTTGATGTTGTCATTGCTAGAAAATTTATTGCCTGGGAGATCGCTTTGGGGAAACTTGCGGACCCGTTCGCTTATGCTGCTTGCCTGATAGAAAATAAACAGGCACATGAGGCTGTAACCAGAGGAGATTTGCAAGATGATGCTACTAAGGATGTGGGGCATCAGGAAACAGGGAACGGTACATTATGTCTCGCCTTTACTGTAATTGGTTCGTTGCATATGAAGGCAATATTAAATTTTAAATTCTTTAGGGCTGTAGCAAATTATTGGTACGAAATTAATCATTGTATAAAGAAACATAAAAAGTGTATGTACCTCTGTGCCAATGTATCTCCTCGTGACCATTGCATTCACAAATTGCTTTTCTACTCCAGTATTCCATTATTGCAGGGCTGCTGCTCACAAATTTGTCATAAATTCTCGACCACAGAACTTTGCTTTACACTTTCAATTCCTCTTGTTTGATTTCGCATTATGACATTCAAATTGGATCTCACATGCAAAATTCATGTGCTGAAATGCTGTATGCCTTCAATTTTTCCCCAGCCGAGGTACAAGGGTGAAAACAAGCCCGCCAGAACTTGCATCCGCCAATGATTCAAAGAAGAAGTTCTTATTCTTGATTTGAATGGAGTGCTTCTGGGCAGTGCATTTAC